CTGTGCTCTTGTAGCTTTGCCAATTTTACACCATCGCTCTATCAGTACAATTACCACACAGCTAGCCAGTCCGATCGAGTCATGGCCAACAGAGATGTCGGTGACGTTATTGACATTTCAGAAAAGGTTGCCTACGTCCTTTAATACACGATCAATGTCGGGTAATCATTCCGCCCCACATTTGTCCGTACTCTATTAGTTACACACAAGTATGGCCAGTAACAGAAAGCATTTGTTCTTAACAAAAAGGTTGGACGTTTTGAACATAATTAAACGGTATGCACCAGCAACCTTGCAGGCCAACTTGTCGCGTGATTCGCACATTTCTCATCGTACCCTGGTCAGATTGATTGTCAACGAATAGGAAGTTTCACAGACTTTGTCGCATGATACTGTAAGTTGTAGCGCACTCAAAGATAACTGCTATCTTTCATGTACAATTTAATTGTTGACCGATTGTACATTACTCCTTCTTGTTTTAATCTTCCTTACAACCGGCTCGTCACTCAACCACCTTGTAAGTTCCCGCGCTCACGTGTTCGCTCTCGCCTCGCTTCATCCATCCGCTTCCTATTGTAGCCCATCGAATACAATCCGCTGTGTCCGTCTTCCATTGCCTTCTGATATCCGCGCTTACTTTCGCACACCGTCTCGGACTAGTATTGACTAGTCCTACAAATTAGTGACCACGATTCGCACGCGCGAATTCCATGTTTCTTTCCTTGTTTGTATCTTTTGGTGAGTTCATTCCTTTTTTCGATTATATACCTATATTCATTTGTTTCTTGCGTAATTTTAGTATTTTTATTGTATTTTGTTCATTCTTTATCTTTCGACTCACATTTCGAGGCATCTGAGTCGTTTCACTGAGTGAACATGCTCATTTTGGCTGTTTCAAGTTTCATGGAACACAGCCCATGTTTGGTTTGCGATATATGAGATCGAACTGGACAATAAGAGCATTACGGCGGACCGTCCGAAGTACAAGCAGCTCGTCCCACGCCTTCCTCCGTCGGTTGTGACGCTGACTGAGGACATTCTACTCTGCCCATCGAATGAGGCAAAGTATGAAACGATGAAGCAAGCGATTTTAAAAGTGTTACGGCCCAGCGCACGAACTCGATTTGAGCAGCCTAATGGTCTCAAGCTTGGAGATCGCAAGCCGTCGGCATTGCTCCGCGAAATTTAGCGCATCGCTGGTCCCTTATTCTTGAGCAATGGAGGGATAAAGGAGCTGTGGTTTGCACGTCTCCCAGAGCCATTGCCGGTAATGCTGTTCATGTTTATAGGTACACCCCTGAAAGAATTAGCCATTATGGCAGACGCTGCGTTTGAACGTCTCCCGCAGCAGACGATCAGTAGCTTCTGTGACGTATTCCGAAAACCGAATCTCATGTTTGCTCCCAGTCGTTAGGCCGATCTGACTCTAAAGACGAAGAAATTGCACTACTTCGCAGCAAGATAGCAGCAATGAAGGCTTCGAAGCAGCGTGCGCCACGGTCAATTGCTGACCACATTTTGGCTACCGTTCATTGAGGCTCGTCTGTGCCTGCACCAAGTACGTCACGTTTGGTACGAAAGCGCAACATTTCCCTACAAGTTCTCAGTCAGATAATGTCAAACCTGTCGAAGAAGTATGTTGGTATCACCGCCAATACGGTGGAAGTGCTAGACGTTGTCGGGCTCCCTGCATTAGGCACGACCCAGGGAAAACGAATAGCCCGCATACTAGCACGACAAACGTATCATTCAATAACCAAGCATAGCGACTGTTTTAGGTTAATGATCAACGTTCTGCCATCACGTTCCTCATCGACACGGGAGCGGAAGTCAGCGTCATTCCAGCGACCGCTAACCAAAAGCACTCAGAGCGTACGTACAATTTGCGTGCGGCCAACGGTTCTCCGATAGCTTCATTCGGTCAGCGCATGATGAACCTAGACTTCAATCTTCGCCAAGATTTTCAGTGGGTCTTCATGGTTGCGTCTGTACCCTTCTAAATTATCGGTATCGACCTCCTCCGCCATTTTGGGTTGCTTGTTGATGCTGGTCGCCACAGACTTTTAGTCGATCAGACTACACTAGGAGTTGAAGGCGTTCTTACGGACGCCCCGATAATCAGTCCCGTTTTCCGAATCGCCGATGTACCTTCAGATTATGCGAACCTACTGTCTGAATACCCGCGACTGGTTCGACCAGCTGCAGTGCTTTCGCCAGTCACGACAGAGGTCGCTCATCACATAGTCATGCGTGGTCAGCCAGTTAGCGCACGAGCAAGACGGCTTACTCCAGACAAACTACGGGCAGCACGAGCCGAATTTGACCAGATACTTTAACTCGGCATCGTCAGACCGTCCAACAGCCCATGGGCGTCGCCTCTGCACATGGTCCCGAAGAAGGTCATGGGGAACTGGCGTCCTTGCGGCGACTATCGAACCTTGAATACGGTTACCACACCCGATCGCTATCCGATCCCACACATAGTGGATCTCAGCGCCAGTCTGGCGGGTAAAAATATCTTCAGCAAAATCGACTTGGTATGCGCATACAACCAAATTCCGGTAGCCGAAGCGGACATCGCTAAAACTGCCGTGATGACTCCATTTGGTTTGTTCGAGTTTCTGCGCATGCTGTTTGGTCTAAAAAATGCCGCGCAAACTTTTCAGTGTTTCATCGACCAAGTTTGTCGCGGTTTAGACTTCGCTTACGTGTATCTGGATGACATTTTAATCGCAAGCTATTCACGAGAAGAGCATATGCGCCACGTACGAACCCTTTTCCATCGTTTATCTCAACACGGTGTCGATTCAGTCAACTTCCTCGACCATCGTATCTCCTCTGCAGGCGTCGTACCACTGCGGGATAAAGTTCAAGCCACCATCGACTACCCAAAGCCTCATTCTTTCAAACAGCTCAGGGGTTTTGATGAGGTTGTCAACTTTTACCGGCGATTTATACCCAACTGCGCCTCGCTGATGCAACCGCTCACCGACCCACTCAGAGGGAAACACAAGAAATTCGAATTTCCTACAGTAGCACGCGCTGCTTTTAAGTTGCTGAAAGAGGCTATCGCCAACATAGCTTTTATAGCCCATCACGATCCGGCCGCCCCACTGTCCCTCAGTACTGACGCCTCGGACGTGGCAGTCGGCGCTGTTTTGCGGCAACGCGTAGCCGACACGTGGCAACCCTTAGCATTTTTCTCCAAACGCCTACAACCTACCGAATGTCGCTACAGCACGTTAAGTAGAGAACTACTAGCCGTATATCTAGATACGTCACTTTCGACACGTCCTAGAAGGCCGCTCCTTTGTCGTCTTCACCGACCACAAACCCCTAACTTACGTGCTCGGCTCGACTACCGACTGATACTCACCTAGAGAGTCGCGCCACCTTGACTATATCGCTCAGTTTACGACCGATATACGGCATGTCTCAGGTGTGCACAACGCCGTCGCCGATGCACTTTCTCGCATCCAAGCTATCTCCGCTGATGCCGGCACTGTTATCGACTTGGCAGCCATGGCCACAGCGCAACCCAACGACCTTGAAGTTGATCTGCTATGCAGGTCTCCCTCATTGGACATACGACCAGTTGCGCTGACATCATTAGACGGCACTATCCTCTGCGATTTATCTCTGGGCACGCCGCGCCCAGTCGTCCCACGCGGGTTTCGACATACCGTGTTCTACACGTTGCACGGCTTGTCTCATCCAAGCGTTCGTGCATCGGTTAAACTCGTAACCGCAAGATTCGTTTGGCGCAATGTTAATCGGGACGTCCGCACTTGGGCAGTTGCTTGCCTTCCGTGTCAACGCGCGAAGGTGCACAAGCACACGAGTAGCCCATTAGGCATATTTCCGACGCCAGACGCACGTTTTCATCACGTGCACATGGATCTCGTAGGTCCTCTGCCGCCTTCCAAAACCTCTGTTATCTACTGACCAGTGTCGATCGATTCACTAGGTGGCCGGAAGCTATTCCCATACTTAACTGCTCTTCGGAAACAGTAGCGAAGGCTTTTCTGGAGCGTTGGGTAGCTCAAGACGGCTGTCCCGCCATCGTGACCACCGATCGAGGGTCACATTTCTCGTCGACATTTGCCACCTAGCTTAAGGATTTAGGCTGTCGCCAACTTCAGACGACGGCGTATCATCTGGCCGATAAAGTCATGGTGGAGCGTTTTCACCGCCAGTTGAAGGCAGCGTTACGTGCGCACGCAGATCCTTCATGGTCTGAAACGCTCCCCTCGTTCTGCTAGGCTTAAGAAACACGGTTAAAACCGATTTCGACGCTACACCAGCGCAGCTAGTCTAAGGTTGTACGCTGCGGTTGCCCGGACAGTTAGTAGCACCAGCTCCATGCACTTCCACTTTTGACTACGGAAGTTACACTGATCGATTAGCTCACCAGATGCGTGAGCTACGTCCACCCGCTCCTCGATCGCAGAAGACACCAGTGTACGTGCCCGAGAAGTTGTCTACGTGTTCACACGTCCTTCTTCGCACAGACGGTGTTCGACAGCCTCTTCAATCGCCGTACATAGGAACATTCATGGTGCTACATCGTGCGAGTAAGGCGTACACTATTGACCGCGGTGGTCGACGCGAAGTCGTCACCATCGATCGTCTGAAACCCGCCTTTATGGAAGAAACTGCCTCGCCTACTTCGTCTAGTAGTGCTTCGTACGTCACAACTCACCGCACCAGCTTTCCGCATGCTATTGAAGTCCAACCAGACCACGATCCCGGTCTACAAGCTTCAGCAGTCCCGACATCACCCGAACCTAGTCCGCCGCCTCCCACGACCAATCGCCGTGGTCGGGAGGTGCGTAAGCCCGTTCGTTTTTCCGACTATGTACAGTGTAAATACTCTTAGCTTTGTAAATATTGTATATATTTGCCCCAATTTTTGGTCGATTAACGTTCTGAAAAAAACAAAAATATCAAAAACCGAAAAACTTTTCTAAAAACATATTCAAAAACCAAAAAGGTTAAACATGCAGATCATTCGTTCTTCCTTTTTGGCGTTTTCTGCGCATGTTTTCCTACTTTCTCGTCTCTACATGCCCCAACCCTCCCCTTCGATCGACTGGCCCACACGAGCAATGTTTTCGAGGACCCTGCCACGAACGCTGGTCGTTTCTTCGCTGGACGAGTGTCGCTTCTCCGCGGGACGAGGGTCGCTTCTTCGCGGGACGAGGGTCGCTTCTCCACGGGACGAAGTTCGGTTCTCCGCGGGACGAGTGTCGCTTCTTCGCTTGACAAGGGTCATTTTTTCCTTGGGACCATGGTCGTTTCTTCGTGGGACGAGGGTCGTTTTGGCGCGGGGTGGGGTAGGGCCGGGGGTGAGACCACTCCCAAGCGCACCGTTTGGCAGCAGCGGAGGTTGAGGTCCAGTCGGCCTTTTCCTGGGCTAGCCAGCTTTTTAGTCCGACAAGCCCGCTCCAACGGCCCGCCGAATTGCACCCTGCCCTGCAATCAATAAATAAATCACAAACGGCACAGCGGACTTCGACTTCCGGCGAACCCCCATTTACACGAACGCCCCCTCATTTCTACTCGGCACGATTTTGCCTTACGAACTTCGTTGCAACAGTCCTTTTCGAGTTCGAAGGCTTTCTATGTTTAGCCTTCTAGGGGGAAGCTCTGTAGCGCCCTAAAAGATAACTGCTGTCTTCCATGTACAATTTAATTGTTGACCGATTGTACATTACTCCTTCTTGTTTTAATCTTCCTTACAACCGGCTCGTCACTTAACCACCTTGTAAGTTCCCGCGCTCACGTGTTCGCTCTCGCCTCGCTTCATCCGTCCGCTTCCTATTGTAGCCCATCGAATACAATCCGCTGTGTCCGTCTTCCATTGCCTTCTGATATCCGCGCTTACTTTCGCACACCGTCTCGGACTAGTATTAGCTAGTCCTACAAAGCTCTCCGAAAAGGAAGCGATGTGGAAAGTATGACGAAGTTGAAACTACATTAACAAACTGGATGATAGCGGTTCGTGAGCACAACCAAAGAGTTACAGACCCACTTCTGAAGAAAAAGGCAGAAAGATTCGGAGAAAGACTTGGAAAAACTTTGCTGCCACAGAAGGATGGTTTTAAAGATGGAAAAATAGTAATCAACTTGTGAATAAACGTGCGCATGCCGAAAAGAGTTCTGCGAACAGAGTAGTCTGTGGAACTTGTCTAAAAGATCGGCTTTCAAATGCATTTAATGATGACAACGTGTAAAATGCAAACGAAAGGTCTTTTACCGAGCATCTGCAGAGGCCACTTCGTGTTTTTCTGCCGACAAGCTGAGCAAATCAAAAGAACCCATGGATAGGATCACGCTACTGTGGTGCGCGAAGATGTCAGGCACAGATAAAAGAAAACTGATTTTGTTTGGAAAAAGTAGGGAACCACGATGATTTAATGGCGTGAACGTGGACACACTTCCCGTATTTTACAGAGTTAACAAAAGTGCGTGGCTAACAAAAGAACTTTTCTCCAGGTGGGTATTCGAATGAGACAACGAGCTAGACCGAATTGGTCAAATAATTCTGTTGCTCTTGGATGATTACACAATGCATCCACAGGTAGAAGACTTGAGAAACATTCAAATGGCATTTTTACCAACCAACACGACAAGCATTCTTCAAGCCATGGATCAAAGTGTGATTACGAAGGTAAGAATCTGTTACAGAAAAGAAATTGTGGACCGAGAATAAGGTGTTACCTGACTCATCCTCGGCGGTGGATGCCACCGCCAAGATTCCTGTGCACGATGCAAATCAATTCTTTTTAAAAAGTAGCAGACAAGTTACTAGTACAACAGTAAAATCTTTCTTTAGGGATACTGGCTTCAATCGACTGGCATCCGAGGGACATTCTGATGACGCCGTTATGGCTTAGGGTGAGATCAGCGATTGCACAATCCCAGTCATCAATGCAGAGGAGTTAGTCGCTATTGACAACGATGTGGAATGTACTTCAGATCTGACAACTGTTGAAGATGAGATCAAAAATAAAATTTTAGAGAACCGACTAGAACGGAAAGAAGACACCAACTCAGAGAATGACGTGCCGGATGACTCCGTAACAGCAAGCAGTGTGTGTCGCATTCCAGAGCAAAGAACTGTGTGAATGATCTGTATAGCTACGGACTTTTGCATGGGCTAAGCAACCATTTCTTGTCCAAATTGGACTGCATCAGTGCAAAAGTGGCTGGAGTAGCAGCTGAAAATAATATACAACTGACGTTGGATTGTTTTCTCCACGAAAATATACAGTAGCGCCAGTTACTAAAGCTTGCCAGGTAAGATGGTTCATGTTATAATTTTTAAATTGGTTATACTTTTCTGAATAAACGTATTTTGTAGGCTTTAGTTACAATTAGGTATGTTATCCTTCTTAGCACGTTATAATGCAAGTGCTCTACTGTACAATCATTCAATAGTTGTTTCCCTTCTAGAAAAATGCCAATATCGGTTAATTGCCCACCCGTTTATTGCCTACTTTGAAATATCCCGATGGCGGGGGGGGGGCAATGAACCGGCTTCGACTGTATCTTTTTGGGTGGCATTTGCTTCGGATACTAGTTTTCCTTTTGGACACCGGGAGTTTCTTCTTGGTATTTCTAATTGCATAACTAGATGCTTTTTGAAGTAGATATTGTGATTTGTTAGAAAAACACCCTTATGGATCTGATCAAATAGGAATATTAATCCAAGCTTCATATGTCTTATTCTCAGTGACTCTAGTTTTAGCATCTTACAACGTTTAGAGTAGTCTCGCATTGGTTTGCGAGACTCCGCGAATCAGCACTAAATAGCTGCACTGAAGATGTTACCTAGTTTGGTAACAAAGCGTCTGCAACAGAAATGTCTAGCTCGGTGAACAGGACAATCCTTTCAGAGTACCGGATGCCTAGATCTTGTTTAGCCTTATTACAGGGGATGGGTTTACCACCAAGGTAAAGTACATTCGGAGAAAGTTTCCACTTGCTTGTCAACACACTACTCTCTTCCAGTGTGAAGACATTTTCCAGTCGGTGCACATGGTTTCAAGGCCAGTAGGTCTGTGCAAACGTTTCCTAGGATATCGCTCAAACACCGGATATCGAAGGTGCATAGTATTTTTATATCATTTGCAAAGATATGTGGAGTCCCATGATTTATTTTTTCAGGTATGTCACTGATATACACTACGAAGAGCAAAGCAGCTAACACATAACCTTGCATCACACCACATTTTATGTTCGATGGTGAAGACAATATGTCCTATTTGTACCTGGTGCGTATGACAAAGTAGGTAAGATTGGAACCATGCTTGCAAGGGATCAGTTATCCCAAAGTTGGTTAACTTCACCAATAGGTTATTGTGCGGCACTCAGTCAAAGGTCTTCTGCATATCAATAAAGAGAATGAGCTTGTCAGATGGTTTAGGAAAAATAGCTAACCAGTCTGGCATGATTGTAAAACCCATGTTGAGCTGGGTTTATTAAATTTACTGACAGCAAGTACATAACAGTTTTCTCTTTCATAATTCCTTCCATTATTCTCGAAATAAGCGGAGTGTGGCTAATTGGGCGGCAGTTTTTATGTCTAGTTTTGAACCATTCCCCTGTCTAGTTTCAATAATGGAAGTTCCTATTGATTCGGGAATATCCCCGAATTCATAGATAGGGTAAAAACGTGTAGAAGCAAGAGCGATATATCCCGGCCACCAAACTTTATTAGAGGTTGCTAGACTATCAGGTCCAGTATGGAAAGGAAACCATAACCCATCAATGTGAGCTTGCATGACGCCGTAATCAAAATGCACTGTGCTGTTTGCCAACACCAGTAGGAGCCCCACTCGTAAGTGTGCTGCTTAAGGGAGCAAACAAAGCGGAAAAATGTTCATTCATGACTTTCCCTGTTATGGTGGAATCTCTGGTCATGGATCTGTCAGTTAGTACGATGCATGATACCGATTTAGTTTGACTGTCGTTTCTGGCTTTCAGTAGCTTGACCAAGGCTTCAGACTTACTGTCATTTATCACTGATTGCTTTTCCTCTGTTAGTAGCCTTGCGGCACGAATCGACCGCAACTGATCAAAGTGCTTATCCTGTCTGGTAAGTAAAGAGGAGTCGCGAGTCTGTTTTACTTTTGAGCGAATTATTTTCAGCTTGAGCAGTAGGCATGTATCGTGTGTAGTTTTCATTAAAACCTTCCTATAGGATATCAGTATGAACAATGAACAATGATTTATAACGAATAAAAAAGAAGGTGCTTGACATGCCCAGTGGGTTGTTTAGCGTGACAAAAAATGATAGCGAAGGGATAATGGAGTCGCCAGTTCGGGCGCTTACAGATGTAACTGCACTGTCGTATAAAGGGAGTTTGAAATGAGAATGTACGCACACAAAGCAACAGGGGAGTGGTTACTGTTCACATCATAGGCGAAAAAAATAAAAACGATAGCATGGACAACGCTTACTGGTGTGCAACTATCTTGGATCGACAGGATAGAGAAATCCAGTTTCTCTAGTATTAGCGTTTATCGAATTTAGTGTAAGGCGTTTGGAGTGACTCATTCTCGAGTAGGGTTATGGCACTATCCACTGTCTGTTGTGCATTAGTGGTGGTCATGAGCTAAAGCACGTAGTGTAAATGTGACAGGGTATCGTCAAGGCGTTTTTTGAAAAGGGATAGGGTGGGTGCATTAATTACATGTTCCGGGAGGGCGTTCCAAGGCTATGACACTCGAAGGGAGAAATAGTTTCGCCGACGTTCCAGGCGGCTGTACTGCGTGAGTAACTTAAACTGGTGACCTCTTAGCGAGGTGTTTTGACTGAGTATTAAAAGGGAATGGCATGGGTGGTTGAGGTTTCTCAGGATCTGGTACACCATTATGCGATCGCCCCTTAGTCGCCGATAACGTCCACTGTATATTTTGCTGGTCTTCAGCCGGAATCGGAGTAGGGGAGGCTGGTCAAACCTCTGACGCTCCTCGTTGCCCTGCGTTGTGCAGTATCGAGCGCGGTGAGATGGTGCTTGAGACAGGGTTGCCACGCTAGAGTAACGTATTCCGCGTGCGGCCTCACGTATGCAATAAGCATTTTTGGAAAGATCGAAGCGTCAAACTTCCCGAAAACTCTGCGAAGAAGGCCGAGGTACTGGTTCGCTTTCTTAGCTGCCTTTTCACTCTGCCTCGAACAACCGAGGTCATCTTGAACTATCACGCTGAGATCGCACTCGTGAGAAGC